AAGTACTACATAATGGAAGGAAATAAAAGTGACAAATATTTGAAACGTTACAGGTGATTTAACTCAACTGTAAGTGGTTATTCTTCTACATTAATTAGGATTAATAAAAAACAAATAACAGCTAACATTTATTTTCATTTTATTTATTTCAAATATGCATGCTGTAATACAAACAAAATACAGTTACATAAACCCAAACATTTGTTTTTCTGGACACTTCACCTCACATAAGCCTGAAACTGCATCTGGTGTACAGGTGCTGGTCATAAAATTAGAATATCATGAAAAAGTAGATTTATTTCAGTAATTCCATTTAAAAAGTGAAACTTGTATATTATAATCGTACATTACATACAAACTCATATATTTCAAATGTTTATTTCGTTTAATTTTGATGATTACAAATGACAACAAATGAAAATCTCAAATTCAGCATATCAGAAAATTAGAATATTACTGAAGACCAATAAAAACAAAGGATTTATAGAAATGTTGGCCAACTGAAAAGTATGAACATGAAAAGTATGAGCATGTACAGCACTCAGTATTTAGTTGGGGGTCCTTTGGCCTGTATTACTGCAGCAATGCGGCGTGGCATGGAGTCGATCAGTCTGTGGCACTGCTCAGGTGTTATGATAGCCCAGGTTGCTCTAATAGTGGCTTTTAGCTCTTCTGAATTGTTGGGTCTGGTGTATTGCATCTTCTTCTTCACAATACCCCATAGATTTTCTATGGGGTTAAGGTCAGGAGAGTTTGCTGGCCAATTAAGAACAGGGATACCATGGTCCTTCAACCAGGTACTGGTAGCTTTGGCACTGTGTGCAGGTGCCAAGTCCTGTTGGAAAATGAAATCTGCATCTCCAAAAAGTTGGTCAGCAGCAGGAAGCATGAAGTGCTCTAAAACTTCCTGGTATGTGGCTGCGTTGACCCTGGACCTCAGAAAACACAATGGACCAACACCAGCAGATGACATGGCACCCCAAACCATCACTGACTGTGGAAACTTTACACTGGACTTCAAGCAATGTGGATGAAGTGCCTCTCTTCTTTTCCTCCAGACTCTGGGACCTTGATTTCCAAAGGAAATGCAAAATGTACTTTCATCAGAGAACATGACTTTGGACCACTCACCAGCAGTCCAGTCCTGTTTCTCTGTAGCCCAGGCAAGACGCTTCTGACGCTGTCTGTGGTTCAAGAGTGGCTTGACACAAGGAATGCGACAGCAGAAACCCATGTCTTTCATACGTCTGTGTGTGGTGGTTCTTGAAGCACTCACTCCAGCTGCAGTCCACTCTTTGTGAATCTCCCCCACATTTTTGAATGGGTTTTGTTTCACAATCCTCTCCAGGGTGCGGTTATCTCTCTTGCTTGTACATTTTTTTCGACCACATCTTTTCCTTCCCTTCGCCTCTCTATTAATGTGCTTGGACACAGAGCTCTGTGAACAGCCAGACTCTTTAGCGATGACCTTTTGTGTCTTGCCCTCCTTGTGCAAGGTGTCGATGGTCGTCTTTTGGACAACTGTCAAGTCAGCAGTCTTCCCCATGATTGTGTAGCCTATAGAACTAGACTGAAAGACCATTTAAAGGCCTTTGCAGGTGGTTTGAGTTAATTAGCTGATTAGAGTGTGGCACCAGGTGCCATCCATTTTGAACCTTTTCACAAGATTCTAATTTTCTGATATGCTGAATTTGAGATTTTCATTTGTTGTCATTTGTAATCATCAAAATTAAACGAAATAAACATTTGAAATATATGAGTTTGTATGTAATGTATGAATATAATATACAAGTTTCACTTTTTAAATGGAATTACTGAAATAAATCTACTTTTTCATGATATTCTAATTTTATGAACAGCACCTGTATAATCAGAGTTGTCTACAGTCAGGAATATAGGAATGCCATGACCTGAGAATTTACACCAACATTTTGCATGTCCAACGGCACGGGGTGGGGGGTGGCGCAAGTAAAGTCTGTAAAGCAGCATGTCTGCAGCTGTTCACAAATCAAAATCTGTTTTGATTAGTGGAGAGGTGAGTGCACAGCAAGTGATCACGCTTGTCTGATTGTGCATTGAGTGGCCGTGTCTACATGCTGGCATAGGAGGCGCATTTGAGCTATAAGGGCAATTTGTCAGTCTGTTGGTCTATAAGCACCTCAGCAGAATGAAACTTAATAAAAATGTTTATATTTAAGATCATAAACAGAGAAACTGAGGGCAGTGTTGGTGGAAATGGATGAAAGGAAGATGATTCTTTGAAAAGTTCCTATTTGATGCTTTCACTTTTGCTGCAAATGAGATTCATCTGAAGTTATTAATTATGCTCATAATTTAAATATTTACCTTTCAGTCTCCTGCTCATGTTATATTACTACAAACTTCACAAGAGACATCAATAAATATTCTAAGATTTTATAGTCAGATGTGCACAGCTTTGTTCTTACTCTGAAATATATAATCTGTAATCACTCTAATTGTATAATTTTTGCAGTAAATTAGTCCACAGTTGCTCTGATATATACTGTATATATATATTTTTTAATGGTTGGTCATGTCACACCTCCAAACATGTTATGAGAACGTCGTTTATTATCACCCAGACTCTTAAGCGAAGTGTTAATCGGTGTGTTTTTACCCCAGGGATGCTGCTGGAGTAGAGGAAAGAGGTTTCTGCTGAAGCTCAATCAGGCATGGAGGACCTGCCTGCATGTGTGCTGGCGTGTGTGTGAGCGTTTGTGTGTCACTGCGTGTGCATCAAGCTCATTAATCTGCTTCCAATTGGCCGTGACATGTTCATTAGCCTGCCGCCTGTTTGCATTGTTAATGCCAGGCCTTATCCGGGGCTTCGGGACGCTTTGTGTGTTTGTATAGAAGTGTAGAATAAGCACAAGTCCAGAGCAGAAAATGCCGAGGTGGTACAGACAGGACAGATAAGTAGTGTGGTAAAGAAATGTTTAAGTTGCAATTTAACTCATTAAACCTTAAACAGCTGCTTATAAAGACCCTCAGCCTCCAACTCTGCCATTCAGTCGCTCTGTGTCGATCACTGTTTGATTTTATTTTGTGTCCTTTGTTTTGTTGTTTAGCCTGCGGCAAAGTAAATATCAGAGTGTTTTCTGTGAGCACACAGTCGGAAGTAGATTAATATCAGAAGAAATATTTATCAGTGGATTTGATTTTGGGTTTTTGTTCCTCTTTGTCTCTGATCTCCACTGCTTTTAATAACAGTTCATAGAAATACATTTATTTGGCCCCAGTGTGTTTTTTCATTTGTAACACAAACGTGCAATCATAAGATAAATGTCAAACGTAGCTGTTTTTGACAACTGGCTTGTGTATTTTCCCTCTTTGTGCCCACTCAGGGTGATTCCCCGTCGGGCTCATAAATCATTGTCTTTATTCCCCGGTGCCTCTCAGGATTGTTGTGATCCTGTCCAGTTRATGCATTAGACCTTTAAACGTCTCTGGTTTCTGTTGGTTGCTGCTGCTGTGTTATTCCCCTGAACGGGAAAAAAAAAAAGGTTTTTTGTGTTGTGGCTACCCACACCTGAGATATAGAAGGTTTTTTTTTATAATTAAAGTAGAAAATGAATACCACTCATTTCCGTAAAACCTTCCATAAACCTCCAGCAGGTTTCAAATATCATTGTAAAGGCCCTGTCACAACATAATGTTTCAAACAACTTATGCCAACTGAAAACTTTAAAGACATCCACGTTGAAGATGGAATTAAAAAAAATCAACTGGAAGCTATTTTAAGTGTGTACATAGTGTAATGCTAACAAATTGATCAAATATACAACTAGTAATTTACACATTACACAAGTTTACATAGGTTGTCTAAAATGTTATAGTGTGACAGGGTCTTTWAAAACATTCAACTTTTCTTTTGCAATTGAACTTTTTATATTTTGGACTGAATGTTGCTTAATGACTACATAGCAAGTATATACAGGTATATTTATTATTTGATTGTTGTTTAGCAAAGAAAATAGATGTGTCTATATAAAATGTGCTGAAACTGATCAGTATACCTCTTTTTTAAAAATAAAAAGGTGTGCAGTTTCTAACAATGAGATTTTGTTGATGTGGCAGAGAAAACTGCACAAAGCAATATTTACTAACCTGTTAAAATGCTTGATGGTGGCTTTGTTCTATGCTTAATTACACTTGACAGCTGAGAAAAAAGACTTCTGTCACTTTAAGCTGGTTCCAAAATAAGGAAAACAAAATTTCTGACATTACTGACAAAGTTTAAACAAGTCATCTAACTTTCTATTTATTTATGCAAATTCTCAAGGTTCATTATATTCAGCAAGAAAAAAAAGTAACCCTTTGCTGTTTTGCTTATTTCCTTTTTTATTTCTTTATTCCTTTAACTATCCTAAATTCYGTTTCTGTAACTTGAGGAGAAAAAAAAAACAGGTCTTCTGAAGGTTGCTCTTTTGTGTTTCTTTCTCAAAACATTTTAGAATGTTGGTTTCAATTTCTGTTTCATGACCTTATTAATGTGAACAAGGAGACTCTATAAACCAGCAGGGTTTTAAATGTTGGAGCTGTTTCCAAAGTAAAAGCAGCAGGTTTATGAGAGCTGTTAATGCCTCTTTATGTGAGACGTGCTCAGCAGATGCCAGTTTCCACGTCTGATTGTCTTCATCTTCTCCGAATCTCTTTATTTGATTCAAGTTGAATTCTGGCTGCTACTTTTACATCTTAATGCTTTAAACCAAGAAAATAAAGAATGCTGTCACATTAAAATTTGCAGTCTGTCTGATCATTTCTGCTGCACCACCAGCTAAAATAACTGACTTCAAATAGATATTATTGGAGCTGATATATAATTTGACCAGTAAGAGGTTAATGTGATGACATTTTTTAGTTGGCATGTACTGCAGCAGTTTGTAATCAGTGTGGAATCACGTTTGGAGTCTTATTTTCAAAACTGCTAAGAATATTAACTTTTAACACAATTTATCATTTAATTTTTTTTCTTTTAGCCAAAGCAACGCACCTCTTTGTCTTCATCTCTGGATGTCCAGAGGCCGGTCAATCACAGCTGTGAGCCCAGTGAGGTGAGCTCTTCCCTGGGCTACGCCAGCTTCAGCACCAGCCCCCCTGCCAGCCCGCCTCTCAGCCCAAACCAGGAGGACTCTGCGGGCTCCAACGACGACTGTCACCTCACAGGTGAGACGTACACACGTTTGTCAGCCACACAAAAGTGACGTTCCCTGACAGCGTCCCAGCATCCATTCTGTTCAGAAAAATTTTGACAACCTTTTGCAAATTAAGTGAATATTTCTTTTTGGCTCATAAAATAATAAAAAAAACTATTTCATTCAAGTAACTGTTTTATCCTATGAATAAAAAAATTATCTCTGCATTTAAAACGGACTTTTCAAATTCCCGTTTTGTTGTATATTATTTAAATGACGCTATGGTGTGAAAACTTGCTGTAATATTCTTCACATTTGCTGCAGCAGCAGAAAATTATTTTCCCCTGTGGGACATTTGTGGACTGGAAATTCATTGCTGTTTGAATAAATATGAATCAACAAGCTGTAAAGAAAATATTGAAACGCCTTTTTATTATGTAAAGCCAGCTGCTGACTTAGTGAATGGTTTTATTTAAGTGAATATATTTTCTGTCCTTTAAATTGTTGCTATCTTTGTGGAAGAGTATTATTTTAACACTGAAGTAATATAATAGATGCTCATCTCATCTCAGCTTAGCTTTTTTTTATCCCAGTTCCTTTTTTGTGGCACCTTTATAGCTTCAGTGGAGATAACAGTTAAACTGCTTGTGCCTGGGGACAAAATAGAAGTTTAATCCTTCTCCCCTGGGTTCCAGGAAATTGAAATCATATTTCTGCTCCTGTCATAAGGGAGGAGTGGGGGGTTACAGCTGAGAGGCAACATTTAGAGGCAAACATCAGATCATAAAGACTCGTAGCCTCAGTCAGACCATAGAGGAACTTACCGTGCAGACTGGATCTCACTGGAAGTTACAAAATAAACAAACATTTTCAGTGTGCTGTTGATTACACTGCAGCCACAAACTGACTGCCTCATTTAAAATGTCCACCTCACTGCTAAAGTTTTTTTCCCCCATGTTTTTGAGTGCTATTTTTCCAGTTGAATGCCATTACCAGCTGCCAAATTTCTCAATTTTTATTATCTGGCCTTGTGGAAAACCCCATTCTTTAGCTTCTTTAAAACAGCTTTTCAAAGGTTTTTCAGGTCATATATATATATATTTTTTTTTTCAGATAAAATTTAAAATGTAGGACTACTACACTAGAGAATTTACCAGAATTCTTTAAAGTAGGCATATCATGCTAATTTCTTAAATCATTCAGATGGGGTCTAAATAAAGTGGAACTCTCTAGCTTCTAGAGCAGTTCATTCTAGTTTGATAGAAGAGTTTACAGGTGCAGAAACTTTTTGCAAATGAATTAAAATATGTCAACAACATAAGACAAGTTCAGACCTTATTTGGCAGCTCCATCACAAATTCTAATGCAATAGTTCAGAAAACATATAGAAAAAAACCGAACAGGTTGAAAAATAGAATCCAAACAGAATATAAAGATAATTTTCTGCACTTCTAGAGACTCCAAGTGTACAACAAAATGGATTTAATGTCGCAAAAAAAACAACAGATTTTCCACTATGTGTCCACTTTTTAAAACAAGGTTCAAAAACATGAACATAAATGTTTAGTTGGCTCTGTGGGGAGTCTTTTCTACTGTCATAAGAAATTATTCAGTTTTGGCTTCATTTACTGCTGATTTGCAAAGGGTTTTCTTCAAAAGAAATGTGCAAAAATAAATGAGGTCTCCTTTTTTTTCCTCGAAACTGATGCTTGACTTTCAATAATGTTTGATTCTAATTTTAGATGATGGTCATGAGGGTTAATCAGGTTACTGCCTGTTTAATGATTTGAGGTTTCCCCCCTGAATTAATTAACTTTTACTGTACTCAGCCTGATTCATCCCTAACCTTCATCATCATCATAATTTTCTGATTTGTTGCATTTGTTACCATAGCAAGGAGATGTTTTATGTTAAAATGATGGTCATAGATGCATTCATTTACTGATGGTTTCAACCCAAGGGTCTCCCCACACCACACTTCACACACCCACTACACACACACACTCACACTCACACACACTTTGCTATCAGGCACCAACAAAGATTCGATGCAGGGGAAATCGACCCTCTGAGTTGTTTTTTTTGTGTGTGTGCGTGTATTTACGAGCATGCTTGATTCATGCTCGAGCGGTTCAGAGGCCCTGGTAGACTTTGATCTCTGTAAAGCCTGAAACACCAAACACATTATCAATTCACAGGTGTGTGTTCAGAAGACACACAGATTGAAAAACGAGTGAACACGACATCTGCGGCTATTGTACTCACTGAATCTCATCCTGTCAGACACATGCTTTTAAAGGAACAAATGTTGCTCAGTAATATTTTTAAATACATTTTAATATGTTTCCGTTTTATGAAAAGATATTGTATTGTTAGGACCCCATTTCAGCAATAACTTGTTACAAATCTAATATAGCTTTAGTRTATCTTTGCTTCTCCCTCTTGATTACTGAAGGAACACCTATAAATATGCTAATCTTCCTCTGCCTCCTAACACTCCTTTAAATTCTTCTTTTTCTATGAAAAGCCAAATGCTATGCTCATATCATAAAGAACATTAGAAAATAATGATTAGTGATTCTAACTCTTACTCAGTGAGAGTGAGATTTATGGGCTTTTTAGATAAGTTTTATTTTCAGAGCTCCCTGTTCTGGGAGCTGCTGTCCAACACTCCTGAGACACCTACAGTATATGAAAGCAGCGGGCATGGTCAATAAACCCAACCAGACCTGCTGCTGTCTGTTCAGCTGCGACTTGTGAACAGGGAAAAATACTTACTGACAAACGTGCTCTGTTCTTTTGGATAAATGGTATGAAAAATGTAGAAATTTCTTGGTTTTGTGGCTAAAATGTAGTAATGTGCAAATTTCCCCACTGCGGGATCAATAAAGTCTTATATTATCTTAAAATCTGCTAATTTTTTTCACATTTGCAATCAGGGGTGTGGCTCCATTTTTTGATGAAGCCTTCCCAGTCAAAGCTCTGCTTTTTCTTACTGCTAAATTATTATTTTTTTTTATTTAGAACCTTTTATTTTCTGTAAACTGACTTTATACGTAATCGGGSTTTAATATAGTTGGGCTTTACTTATATGACTGCTGTTTAAAGCCTGTTAAACTTATCCAATTGGTTGGTTTGTAAGGACTGCAAAGGTTTTTCTCTAAACRCCAGTGGTTTTCACAGCTCAGTTCAGGACCCTGCAATTAACCCTTTTTACAAGTGAGTTGGAATCAAATGAGTTTGCATTAATAAAGTATAAGAAAAACACCCAGAAAGACATTCTTAATATAATGTTTTCACTTCTGATTTGTGAGATAGCTGTTTGATCATTTGGTTTTACCAAAGTTCACTTCATGTCCTTATACATCATTTTTACCAACCTAATGAACTGTTTAAAAGTACCATACCAAATATCAGCTGATTTGATTCATTAGCACATGTAACAAACTTAATAGTTTATGAATAAGTTCTATTATTTCAAACTATTCATACATTAAACAAAATAAATGTATGGAAATATCTACCTGGAAAAAAATCACAACTTTTCTTGTGCTCCTGTGTAAAATTAAGGACATTGTTAATCAAGAATCTTTAATTTTTAAATGTTATAATTTGTTTAAATCAAGATACATGAGTTTAGTATCACTTTTTTTAAACAAACACACCGAATATTTAGAAAATATGACTGCATGTCCCCCCACCACCCCACCACCCTACTTTTTTGTTTTTCTCACTGACTGACTAGAAATAGATTGGCACTCACTTTATTCCCCACATTTAATGTTTTGGTCTTCCATTTTTTCCTACTCTTTTGCTTATACCCTCCCTGCTCTCTCTCTACTTATTAGCCTTATAAGGCCTATTGTAGGGTAACCATGGGAACAAGTAGCTTACAGGGAGAGACAGACAGAATGAAAGAACGGAGCGTATACGTATGTGGGTACAGAAGGCAGGGTCTTCAGGATTCAAAAGATGCCAGTGGAGAAGTGAGTGTGGGTGATAGAATGAAAATCTAATGTTGCAAGAGGAGGGAGGGATGAACAAAAACCAGGAAAGAGGAGACGATAAAATGAGAAAWTTCATGGATGTATTGAGAATGAGGACAGGAAAGTAAGGAGAGCATGCCTTTTTTATTTTTTATTTTAATTTTTTATTTTTGCAAACCATATAAGGTCTTTCCTTCCGATGCCTCCACATCTGTATGTTGCCTTATTTCTTCCCTAAAAATCACAAACCAGTCCTCAACACTGATCTAACATTACACAATGATCCCCCAGCCCTKCAGCAAATTATGCCAGTGTCAGCCACCTGCGTAGGCGGTTGGACAAAAAGTAGGCCTATTTATAACCCAATCCATCAYTGGTGCTGGTGTTATGCTTCATAACTGGGGTTTATGTAATCCTAGTGCCAAATGCAGTGCAGTGTTTGCAGAAACAGCTGTAGACTCTGAATTATGCAGTACCGCCCTGCAATAAGTTGAAGACAACAAATTACAATTATTCATTTATTTAAACCTTTATTTAACCAGTTAGATCCAACTGAGGTTAAACATCAATTTTTTCAACATTTACAACTTAATTTAAATTGGCTATAAAATCATTCAGAGACCAACTCAGTTCATTTCAAGTCTTGATTCCATTCTGAGGGAGCAGCAAACTGGAATCATTATTTTTTTATAATCTGTGCAAACCTTAGGTACAGTTAATAAAATGCAATCATCAGAACACAAATAAATGAGTAAATGATCCTAATTGAGTCTTCGTAGCAAAGCAATAACCTGCTTTGTGTGCTCAAGTGAACTAAAACCTTGAGTCCAGTGAATCAGTACAGCAAACATGAAWCCTCAGTTCACCTGCAACCCAGCATCAAGTCACACAATAAGCACTTTCCTTTCTCGATTTATTTATTTTAAGACGTGTACTAATCACAACAAAGTTGAGCAGTATAATTTTTTTATTCTCAATGAAAAGAAAACTTGCTGTCTTTACAGCTTTTTTCTTTAAAAGGACAATCGCTCCGACTGGAGAGAAC